GTCTACCGGTCCATACCGGTCTACCGGTCCATACCGGTCTACCGGTCTAGGGGGAAACCGCTGATTTTTTTGATTTAAATCAGAAAAAAAATCAGAAAAATCAAAAAAATTAAAAAAATCGAAAAAATCAAAAAAATCAACAAAAATCAAAAAATCTTTATCTCTGTTGTTCAAAACATCAATCAAGGGTGGAGCAGCTGATATTAGATTTTATTGATTTCAGTGATATTTTTGATTTTGTTGATTTTTTGTTTGATTTTTCTGAATTTTTGATTTTTTTGATTTTTCTGATTTTTCTGATTTCTGTTTTGATTTTTTTGTTTTCTTTTCGCATTTTGTTGATTTAAAATCAATTGATTTAAATCAAAAAAATCAAAAAAAAATCAAGAAAATCAGAAAAATCAAAAAAATCAAAAACATCAAAAAAATCAGATTTTAGCTGTTTCCCCCTTGCTACCGGTCCATACCGGTCTACCGATAGTGACAGAATACTGATGATACGCTAGTTTATCAGGAAAATCCGACCTATCGATAAAATATCGATCTACAGACAACAGGCTGCAGCCTAAAATGAAATCCTCTTGTGCAGTGAACTCTCTGGTGCGTTACCTTCATACCTTGAATGCAATCATAGACCAGGAAAGTGAAAAATATAGATCAGTATAGACCGGTGGACCGGTATGGACCGGTAGACCGGTATGGACCGGTAGACCGGTATGGACCGGCAGACCGGTATGGACCGGCAGACCGGTAGACCGGTATGGACCGGTAGACCGGTAGACCGGTCGATCCAAAACCCAGACCGGTACCGGACCGGACCGGACCGGACCGGTAGACCGGTAGACCGGTCGATCCAAAACCCAGACCGGTACCGGACCGGACCGGACCGGACCGGCCGGTAACCGGTACCGGTTCCATCTCTGAAGAACACCTTGCGATGTTTGATTGACACTCTATTTTACACTTTGCTTTTGATCGTTTACAAGCTTGATCTTAACTTCTAAAGTTTGTGATTAATAGTGATGTATTCGATATCTTGACATCTGTTAGTTAAACTTTGGATTTATTGAAATCTTTTTCTGTCTTTCAAATCTTATTATTCTTTCATATTTGACACAGGTTTTTAGGCAATCTATGTGAATGCTTAGTATGAGTGTACTTTAGACATAATGCTCTCATCTACAAGCAGTGTTATGTCTTTTGTATTTATAGTAAACTACTCTTCATTTTTATTTTATGTTTCTTTTATCTTGTTTATGAAATTATTATATAAAAGAATTCTTTATCAGATACCACTAAATATTTTAAGTTATAAATTCTCTATTGGATTCTATGTAAATAAATATCAAGAGTGTCTTAATTAAGCGAGAACATTTTAATTATAAATTTAAAGTAAAATAAAAATAAGAGTACTTTAAACTTTAAGTTTGAAAAAAGTTATAGTTAAATTAAGTTTTTTCACAATTTTTTTTTGTAAATAAACTATTTTTTCATAAAACAAATAAAATGTGATCCTTTTTTTGTGAAAAAATGATCTTTTAAAATAAATAATTTTTTTAATGAAAGAAATAAAAAATCTACTTCAATTTTAAAGGTTAACTGAAAGTAATGTGTCAAAGTAGTTTAAAAGTTAAAGTGCAAGCATAATCTTGATGTCTACAAGGTTTACGAGAAGGCGACGCGAGATTGACGACTCATAAGACTAATTGAAAGACATTTTTAGATTCAATCAGAATTTCTAGGTTATAGTGAAAATTCGTTTGTCAAAAATTCAAACTTCACGAAATTTGGATATGAGCCTTTCTTCCAGTAGGAAAACTCTGATACATTCATATGAAATATTTCTTCTTTTTTTTTTAAATCCAATTCTAATAATAAACACCTTGGAAACTTTGTTTAAAAAAAACAGATTGTCATTTTACACTTTGGTGACAAAAATAAAATGTTATTCGACTTTTTATTTTGGATTTCTATTAGAAACATTATTTAGAAGGCGTAATATTACGATAGAATAGTCAGATTTCAGATCGTTATCAACCAGAGGCCGAAACAGGCCACGCTTTTTAGGCCTGCACGGCTTGTCAAGCTTTTCGAGCGAATACAATAATGATGACAGACTAAAAGCCAGAGGTCCAAACAG